TTACAGCACAAAACTTTTTTAATATGAATTGGCTTCTAATTAACGATGAAAATCAATGTGTTCGAATCAGTAAGACATAATGCAATCTGTGATCTGTACTATTTCTAAGATACAATTCATTAATACTTCAAAAAAGAAAAATATTAGGAAATGCATGAATGTAAAAATACCAATAAAAAGGGAAAGTAAATATACCTAATTGTAATAAGCCTAATTCTATATGATTCTAAGTGCCACACGACTACAGTGAACTTTTAGCTTAAGTATTTATGCATATTAGAAGCTAATTGTGAGAGTTCTGATATTATATTCTGTATTTTCTGTATAAATGGTATTTTTCACCAAGTAGTAGAATAAAATATTAAAAAAAATAATTGGCCTATGATGTTTAAAAACTGCAACATATACAGGGTGATTCTAAAAAGATGGGCAAAATTTTAGGAAGTGATAGTACACACCCAAGCAAACAATTTTTATCAAAGCATGCATGGTCGAAAACAAAACGCAAAACCGCTGGAGGGCGTCAAAGTTTATGTTCTTATATGAAGCAAAAACATACAAAGAACGATGGAGTTAAGTTATAAAAGCAAACTTAATGGCATGTGATTACAATAAGTGTTCATAACAGTAGCCGGCAGCGGCTATGCACGCTGTACAACGGTGAAAAAAAGCTAGGCGAAAATTCTGAAACACACCAGACGTATCACGAACTTTCCCTGCAGCGGCCGAAGGATTGACGACAAGTAAAGCAGCGCAGTAATTCGGAACAGGAATGGAGCTTTCACGTTTGCATCAAACAACTTTCCAAGTGCGCCAGCACCTTTGCGGTTTGTTTTCGACCATGCATTCTTTGATAAAAATTTTTTGCTTGAGTTTGTACTATCACTTCCAAAAATTTTGCCCATCTTTTTAGAATCACCCTGCATATTGTTTGGTTGATGGAATGAAAAAGTCATTAAAAAATGCTTATTTAAAATATTTAAAACATGTAAAATAATTCTATTATGTATACAAACAGCTTAGATAGACACCTCTTTTTTTAGAAAATCACACTTATGTTTTACCTTACGATTACATTTTTCGTTTCACATACAATTGACACAATATCATTAACTGACATAAATTTTGTTTCGGTTTCAAGAAAAATAAAAAAATACGCTTTATATATATATATATTTGTTAA